CATATATATATATATATATATATATATATATATATATCAAATCGTACCACGAATCTTTAGGTAGTTACTGGGAACCGTTGATACAGGGTCTGATAAAACCACGTTTCGTTACATCTACTCATGTAATGAACAGCAAAATAGGTTATTCCAATAAACATAAAGACTCAGAGCCCACTCGTGTTAACTGTTGTTTTGCACAGTATAACTCACGAAACGCACAACAACATAAAGGTGTAGCATCAACGTAGGACGTGGAACACTGCGCTTCCGACAAAAGTCAGCCTAACACAGGGCGGACACGATAGGCTAGAACACAGATTGGACGCTCACAGATGATGTGCACGATAACACAGAGCGAGAGCGCATGCATAGATACGAAGTAGATTCGAATTCTACGGAGCACGTGCCCTAATGGTCACAGAAGTCGTCTAGCCCCAAAAGCACGTTCACAGGAGACAATGGGTGATAGTGGCCCGGTAGTAACGTCACCAATTATCACCTCGGAGGACGTGTGTTTGAATCCCACCACCACCGCCTGACTTTCCCCATCATGTTTTTATGGCAGCCTTTTGATTGGCCGCTTCCCCCTTCCTGAAAATTAAATCTTCGTATACTCAATAAAAGGAAGTAAAATGAAAATGAAAATGAAAAAATGCATGCCGCAAACGCGTACCCTTCTCCCAGCTCAGAAAGTGAGAACCCATAGCGGCAAGCAACGAACTTATACACAAAAATAAAGTCGGATTCACAGCGTTTTCTCATCTGCTTGTATACTGCTTCGGTCGTTGAACATGCAGACCTTAAGAATTGCTGCAAAAATGAGGGAATTCACAGAATTGACTAATCAGCTGCCAGAAATTAGGTTGTATGGAGAAAGCCAGAACGACATCAAAATAGCCTTTTTACCTAACATTACCCGACATCTTAAGACCTGGAACTTGAAGTAGCAAAACACTTGTATTTAACCAAGCCGTTGTTGTCTTGTGTTTTTTTGTTAATTTTAAATATCACAGTTTTGGGCTTATGATTTCTTGTTCAGTCTTTATAAGAGATGCTGACGTGCAAAGAATGATTTGGGTTCATTACTACCCTCTTTGGCATTTGGTGTTGACTGGAATCTCCGTATCCTCATTAGTAGTTTGTTACCATCTACCACAGAATAGTGTTTTCCATTTATTGTGATTCATCGATTTCGCAATAAAATTCCTGATGTCTCAGCATGATATTATAAAAGTGAAGATCTATGCACCATACATTTACCATCACCTAAGCTAGTCATTCCATTATGTTCTCATACAATTTTTGTTAGCGATACAGATGGTAATCTTATTACCGTCTTTATTGTTTTGAATTCCTAGCCGAAGACATGTTACCTGTTGTGGAGGCCGTGCAGCTGGAGCATAATACAATCCTCGTCTGCTTACAAGGTACGTGTAATAATCTTGTAGTTTCTCTGTATAGGGAGGATGTCATGCTGATCGTTTCTCCGACGTAATTTCACTCCATCATGTATGTGATCGATCCAACGTAGTGCTGTTTTACGACCACCGGCTTGATTCCTCACAATGGCCGATCACTGTGCTAATGTTTTGCTTTACTTTGTTTATACTGGTCTGCATCACTGCTAATGTGACGTGGTGTATGCTTTTCTGAACCGTTCGGATCATCAGCAGCATCAAACTATCACAAATCATTTGCACACTTACATCCAGTCAGGACAGTAGTTTAGTCTATATTCATTTTCAGAGACGAGTTGCATGTGACACTCGTTATCCAGTCAGTTCCGTGTTCGATCTGTCTTTCCCGTCCGTAATCTGTGGCTTTATGACACTGCCCTACGACAAGTATCCGTTTGCCGGTCACATTTCTTTGTCTGATCTGCACTAGTAATAATAATTACAGTAATTATAATTCCAGAAGGCGGTGCTGGTCCAGGATAGTCGTTTATTGCCAATAAAGGTCTGGATATAGGTAAATTGTCATTCATATAACAAAATATCTCATTTGGGACAAGTTCACAGAATTTCCGCAAACACACAGGATATGTAATTTAACGGTCCACTGACAGATGTGCATTCTTGTGTTCACCGTACCAAACAGCAACGGTTTGTTCCAACAGGTCTTGTTCATTTTTAGTCGTTGAAAGAAACAGCTGATCGCGTCTTTTCGCGTACTAGTCAAGTCAAGTCAAGGAATGGCTTTATACACCTCGAGAGGTGGATATTCAGCAATCACAACCACAGTGCCAACAAAAGGTGAAAAGAAAACAATATAATACAGCAATTAAAGGACGTGAAAAAGGACAACAACATCAACAACCAATGGCATACCCGGGTATTGACTGATTTAGTTTGGCGGTTTGCACAGGTTTCCTGCAACGAGTTCATGGTTTGTTAGAAATCAAGCGAGATAAGAGACAATAGACCGCCTGTAAACTTCAGTGCGTCTTTCTGAGTTTGTGAGTGGAACGGGTGGATGAGTGAGAAAGGCACTGACTAAGGGCGGAATAAAGGGGCTGGGAAATATCAGATAAAATCTTGTTCGAGAATGTTTTACAGAACTTGATGGGATGTGTCACCACATACTGTACCAGATGTTCCCGTGGTATGAGAATACAAACTGACAAACTTCTTGTGGAGTGGTTTGAAACGATGAGTTGAGGTAGGGCAATCCGAATATTATATCGTCTGCATACTTAACGCGAAGTGGAGAATTGCTCACAGGTATAGAGAAAATGTAATCAGAAAATAGAAAAGGGGATAAAATAGCGTCTTGCAGTACGCCTTGTGAGGAGGGCAGCAGCGAAGATGTACTACCTTTGTAGCGTGTGAACTGCTGACGGTTGGATAAATAGTTAGCCGAGTTCAATCGTAGAAGGTTGAACTCTGCTCAAAGAGAGGATATTTAACAATGTTTGTCGATCAATTGTGTTGAAAGCATCACTGTTGTCAAGAAAACATGCGTATCCAGGTTGGATAAAGCGAAGTGGGACAGATAAGCAAGGGCATCCAGGGTACCGCGGAAATGGGTGTATGTAAACTGGTTCGGGTCAACAACATTGAATTTTGTGAACAGAGTCTTAAGGAGGAGCCTCTCAAACACCTTCAAGAAAACTGATGTGCAGGCAATGGGATGGTATTTTGAGGATCCTTTCTTCGATGCAGGAGTGATAGAGGCAATTCTCCAGCAGTCAGATATACCTTGCAATGAAATACAACCATTGGACAGTTCACTCAATAAGGTTGAAAGGAAGGCAGCACATTCTGTCAGGAGAACGGGTGACACTCCGTCGGGGCCGCAGGACTTGTGAGGATTTAATCGAGCCAACTCTTGTTAAATATCGACAGATACAACGCTTGAGACGGGATCAGTCATGGTGATTTCATATCCATTAGGTAGAGCAGTGAGCAGTGAGAGCGGTTCCACTGTTAATGAAACGCTGATTCTGACCGTCTATGTCCATTGCAGCAGGTGAACGGTATGGGGATTTGCTGCCGGAAATTCGCATGAGGGCTTGCCAGGTCTCACGACTACCTTTGTTGTCAAGCGGAGCAGGGGTGTATAAAGAGTTTAGCCTTCGAAGTTCAGCCCGGATGGATTTAGAAAGGGAGCGCACCTCGTCGCGCTTTTACATTTTAAAGACACGCTACTCACAAATGGGTAGTACCTCGCAGCTCTTCTGACACACACTTGGGGTGGTAGTAATAGTTTGGTCGTTGTCACTGGCGTTCTCTGGGCCCAGTAATCCCAGGTTCAAACCCTGCAACCACCACGCAATTTCAAGTGTGGTCAGCTTCGTTTTCTTCCGGTTCAATACTGGGCCTTCTGTGGTTCGCCACTTCAACACCAGGAACTTAGTTTGCCGGTTTCCATCATTCGACATCAGGTCTTTGCGATTATGGCTTCCATTCTGTTTGCATCACTCAGATGTGCGTAATATAACACACAAACACACATGCACGTATGTATGTATTTTTATTCAATCAACTAGTCAGGGCTGATGTAAAGGAGCAGGTTTTTGTCAAATTGTGAAGGCGTATTACGCTTTGATGTTGGGACGCTACTCATGAAGTAGGTAACCATGGTTTGCATCCTCCACTCTGTGTGCAATATCACCGACAGATTCTATCTCACCGAATATTCCATGAAGTTTTCCAAGTAAAAGTTGTGTTTGATAATGTCAGTTTTCTGTCTTCACCTGTCCGTTTCCGAAATTTCACACATTTGGTGCTTTCTAATCAATCCAATGTATACTCTCCTACAGACTGTGCCAAAGTAATCAACTTGAGCGGACGAATAAAATCCAGTCGGCATCGGGCAACAACTTTGGACTTTAACGGAAACATGGCTGAGTCTGTCGGTACGTTTCTTCAATCATCGAAATCGGTTGTAGGCAGTATTTTGTTTGTTTCGTCTGTAAGTTCCCTCTGCCAACGGTATACCTTCAGTGTATATAAGAATAATCGGACATTCTCACTCGTCGCAAACAACATTTCCACACGTATACGAACGGTTGTAATTTCTTCCATCTTGTGGTTTTGTTGTGATACTTTTTCCCTCTTGTTTGGACACGAAACAGAATTAGGGTTTTTCATGTGTTCTACTGTAGAGTGGCAATCAGCTTCGCTGTCCTCCGGCTCAGTACCACGCCTAGGCTAGTGATGCCTGATGTAGTTATCCTTTCCCGCACTGGAGATTTGGTTTATCGGTTCTCATGAATGATCAGTAGGTCATCGTGACCAGGAGTTTAGTATTTCTGTTGTTTATTGTCCAATAGTGTGGAATCAAAAAGTATGAACTGTATGCAACAGTTACATGCTTGGTCACATAGTGCTACCCCGAGTACAGCTTCACTGTCGTTCCTCTGAATGTCACATCCATCCCATTAAGATCTTATATGGTTTGCTACTTTTCGTTCCAGAGCATTTACTGCCAGTTTACGTAACTGTACTATTGGTCTCCATCACGATGGCCTTCACAGTTTTTGCTGTTTTGTCACAAGAGGTTTTAATCCTAGGTGTGACAGGTGCTACGACGTGGTACTTTTCAAAAACGTTTTATTTTACGATGTGCTTTGTTTATAACTCAATGTTTCTCGTTTGGATTGTAGTATGTTTACGGGACAGTATCCTGGTTTTTCATCCCAACGGATTGCTGGGCAAAAGCTTCACTGGCGAGGTAAGCTGTTTATATCCGTTTCCCCTCACCCATTGCTTTCCGCATCGTTTGTTGTTCGAATTCTGCTGTCGACATCTATCTCGTTTCTGATTTGACAATTCCGTTAAGTGTGGTATACAAAATCGATTTCAGGACAAAAAGTGGTTTTATCTTCTGCTTTCGTGCAAGAGCCATTTCCTTCATATTTTTCGAAATCACTTGAATTAATTGCAACTGCTTTACTCATCTGTTAGAAAATAGCTATCCGTAATTGTGAATTGCGTTAACGTGGTAGTTCTAATCCCTTCGCTGTTGTTGACTTTTTCACCACCAAACACCAAAAGCAATCACCAGATTTTTCCTGGTTGTTTTCTTCGAGAGATCGTTCGGTGCTCCCGATATGTTCTCATGTTTGGGCTGAACGTTTCACTTTATGTAACTGTTAACCATGAATTTTCGTGCGCCTGTTTTGTACGTTGAATGTCCTCAAGCAATGATGCAATGCTAGGCTGTTTGATTGCATTGACTTTGGTAGCCTTCTACGACATTCCGTGTACCACGACGGTTGAACAAATCACCGGGTTGACAAGAAAAATATTCTGTTCAATTTCCTTGCAACTCAATACTTTGTACTGCCTTTCGTGCAGATAACAATGTTGTTCAGTGTGTGTGCTTCCAGTTACTGCTTTTTGGGCATTGAATAATCCTCATTTAATTTTTAGACCTACGTCTTAGTGACAACGCACGTTGCGCACAGAAAACAGTCACTTTACACACATATGCATAACAATCCGTTCGTTTGACTCCAGTGATATTGCAGATGCTAGTTCAGATCGTAGCGCCACATGAAGTCCCACGCAAATCTTAATTAGATATCTATTGCTCCAATCATAGTAATTTGCTGATGTTTTAGCACTGTATTCATCATTCTCCGATTCGACTAACCGAATGCGCTGATAATAAGATTACGTTATTGTTCTTCTTCGTAGTCTGTTCACAGGACTCGATTCTTGATGTGATCTCTTCTGCTTGTCGCGTGGTTCACGTGTATTCAGTATACTTTCTCTGTAGTTATGGTTGTTGACGGTCTCGATTTCACTCGTCCCAACTCCACCCATGTACTAGTGGAGTCTTATGTGATTCGCCATTATAATTTCGTGGGCTTTTGCTTTACCGGTTCCCATATGCAAACCGTGTGTCCTTGTGTTTCTGAGGTTTACCTCTTCTGTTGTTCATTACATGTGTGTGTGTGTGTGTGTGTGTGTGTGTGTGTGATTAAGGGAATCCAGTGATCAATCTAGGATGTTGCCAAAAGACCAGAACTTTCTCATCTTGATACACTACCAGACCAGTTAACTTTGCACGAGATATCACTGTTCCTTTACGAACATTGAGGAGGCTGAATAATTTCCTGATCCGTTCTGTCTTTGTTTCTGTAAATCGTCAATTTTACTGGTCAGTCACATGCAATACAGGTTTCTTTCTAGGATTCATGGATTATATGAACGAACCATTTTGAATGTTTTCAGTTACACATTACTTAAACCTTCCCTTCTTTTCATAATAATACCTAGCTTACTCAAGAAATCCATGACGACAAGCACATATACCGACTACTCGGCTGTGATCGGTACGTTCCTTACACATCCTATGTGACCCCAACTCCCGCTTTTTATCAAAACTGATGCTTTCTTCCTATTTTTTGATTCATTCTGGACGTAAGGCAACTAACCCATATTTACTACTTTCTGTCATTCTTTCCACGACCTTTGTTCGATTATTTCCTGACACCTGTGCTCGAATCATTGTTCCATATTATATTGCACATGTGGATTAGTGTTTTGGAATTATACGATCACTTCTAAATGACAAAACGTTTCTCGTCTGTTTTCAGAAATATTATTGTCGAAAGCCGGCCAGCTGATGACCCAATGTCAAACTCCAACGTATATATTCTGGCAGGACACACAGACAGTTGTGCGCAATAGCTCCTCGATCAGTTCCTATCTTGCCGCCATACTCTCAGTCTCCACTAGACCATCATTATCATTATTCTCATCACTATCTTCGCCGTCTTTCTTGCTCCTTGTCGTTCTGCTTTTACACATTCACACGCACGCACACACTCGGCCTGTTCGTATGCGTGCGTGCCTTCGAGCGTTCATGTTTGCCCGTTCCTCCGATCACAGTGCTGCTACTTGTGGTGCGTGCAGAAACGCAAGGAGGCTGAATCACTTGACTGTTCCTCTCATCACTTTGTCCGCTCCTCTCTACCATCCACTTCATAGCTCCCTAGTCGAACTCTCGCTCACGACCCAGTCGCTGCTGCATTCCCTCTGGCTGATCTCCCCCCCCCCCCCGAACTTCTTACGTGACACGTCTAGCGGCCCCGGTAAAAGTGTGGGTTTTATTTCACCTTGAATCCTTTCTTTTGTCTGATCTCGACCACGCGGAACTTTTTCTCTATCTCTCCCACGTACACATCCCCAACCTGACGAGTTTTACTGTGTATACTAATATCCACCATAGTGACATGTTACCCATTTTCCTTTAAACGCATATTTTTATTTCGATGCTCGATTTTCCTCGAATCAGACGAATAGGTTTGTGCATTTTCCATACAGTCATTCGTGCATCTGTTCTTGTCTGTTTCATTTTACCGATGCACCATTACTACTAGTAATACCCTTTCGCGGGGGCACCCCGTCCCGCTCCTATGTGTATGTGAATGTGTTTCCTTTCATTTATTCTTTTCGACATTTTCCCACTCAATGTCTATCTCCATCTTTTTCATATTTTTGCGCTTTCTATTCGTCGTTACTTGTCACGCGTATCTGCCTTCGATCCTCATTATTTTCTTCCATCAGACCAGTGGCGCTTACAAGGCTCCAAACGATCTACCAATGGCTCCATTTCGTTGTGATAGGCGTTTTGGGTGTTTTTTAGTTGATGCTACACACACCCTTCTCTTAATATCCGGGCTTCGAAGCCCGCTCGAATGATCCTGGAATCTTCTCCTACCAAACGGTTTCAGTAGATTGCTCATTCGATTCTTCTTCTCTTTGTTCATCCTTCATTGGCTTATCTACCCGCCTTGAACTTATCCATTGTCACTGTTTAATTGATATCCTCATTTTCTATTCTCTTTCCCGTCACTTGTCATCGCGTGCAACTACGCACTTTGATCTTATCGCATCACAGGCTACGCAGCTGTGCTTCAAGCCAATAAATCCCACACTATTGTATTTTTCTACGGATTATCCCCTATTCCCCGACCAGTGAAAAAACAACCACGATACACTAGAATCAACCTATCCTAGGTCTCAGAACTCCCGTATCGCCACTGCTGCCGTTACTTGTCCTCAGTCCCCGTGAAAGCCTTAGGCCTCGGAGACTGCATTGTACATTTTTGTCTATTCCACCCATTTGAATCGTGCTGTTTTGGTTATCATCACCACCTTCCATTATCGATCTTTCGCTCTGCAATCTTCTCTCTCTCTCTCTCTCTTTGTGCGTATCAGTTTCACATCTATCTTTTGTTTGCTGTCGCAAAAACGCAGTTCTGTCTTTTGCTTCGCTTGCCCAATCGGAACCGTATTCGGTCCCTCACCCGACCACACTCACGCACTATTGTTTCATGCAAAACTGTAAAGAATCATCTTCACAAACAATATACTTTCCAACTTCTAACCATCATCATCATGATAACACACCAGTCGGATGAAGACATTTGGGCTCTCACCATCTGTATACGTACNGTGCGTGCGTGCGTGCTTGTGTGTAGCTGCATTGCCAGGCCACATTGTCAAGCTTGTTTGCGTGCTGACGTAACCAACCGATCCTATTGGTCTAATAATGACGATCCACCCGTTCGCCTCCTATCTTCTTCAACTTCAAATCTAACACTGTCCAATTCTTCTCAATTTGTCATCTTCACATCTCTGTTATTGTGTGCTTCTCTTGGTTTCCGCTTTTTTCTATGCTAATCAGTAACCATACTTGCACGTTTTATCTTTTTTTAAAATAGACCAACAAAACTAATATCGTTTTGCTACCACAACTGGCATCTTTTGTCTTCTTTCGTCACTGACACGGTGCTTTATCATTTAGCTGCCTCGTCCAGTGTTATTCTAGTTTGTAAACAACTCGATCCCCATGTTTGCATGCTCATATCTGATGGAGTGCAACTTTTGGTTTATGATTATCGTTCGCTGTTGGTTCTCTCTCTCACTCGACCTTGTCTGTGTGTATGTATGGCCTCATTGGGACTATCGCTGTTATGCAGCTTCATTCCCATCTAGATTGAAGAAATTCCAACTTGACTCTCCGTTCTTGTCTCTCGTGGGCTTGATATCACTATTTTAATTTAGTTCATTCGCCACTTGTTGCGCTTACTCATGGCATCCATAATCTGGTCACCAGTTGGAATCTCTTGCTCGTTTGCGTGCTCCATGGATTTTGTTGCCCAAATTGATCCATATTCGAACATGGGGCGCGTATCGCCTATTGATCCTGATCTCTCGCTGCATTATGCTCATTTCCCCACGTTTCCTTGTTCGAAGTCATTCTGTCACACGCACGCATGCACGCACATGCATACAAACATACAGAATCGGTGCGCGCACATATTCACAAAAAATCATGCATGGTCTTTTGTCTCCGAGTGCTATTTTTGCGGATTTGAAACAATCGATTCCCGTAAACACCGGTCTACTGGACAACTTCAGCTGTTAGTGCATGCGTACTGCGGGATTGTCCAGCTTGCTTATTTGATCATGAAGGGCAGCTATGCACTCCAGGCCTGTGCAAATGCGCGCGCTTGCCCAGGGTATGTGAATATTGTGTTCCTGACTTCTGTATGCACATACGACTAGATTTCTGTCAAACACTTGTATCGTCGTCATAGGAATACCCACGAAGAACGAAAGCATATGTAAAAGAAAGAGAAAATGAGTTAATTCAAGGTAAAATGTCGATATCTTGACGTATCTGAATGATGAGAACGATCGGCGAATAGCTGGTAGTGAAGATGTGAGCAAACCGTTCACAAGAATCCACATAGAGTTCGCAGTTTGACAACAGAGGAGTCCATAGGAAGAAGTGAAACGCGGTTGATACTGGGCAAGCCATGACAAAAAACAATGAAGTGTTTTCAGTAAACTAGACACAGTAAGAGATAACAGACTTTTTGTCCATAACTTGCCTCAATCTGCCTGTAGGGGAGAGTAAACGTCTGAGTTTTTGTCAACAGTATCCAGGATGCGAGCAGACCATCCGCAGTTGCTTCTCGTGGTGACAAACAAGGATCTATTGGGGGTAAACGGGGCTCAAAAGACACTTACAAGATGGAGATCAAGGCTTGATTTCAGAGAAAGTCTTGAATGGGGGTGATATTATCAGATTAATAGGAGAAAAATAAACTAATCTGAAATATGCTGTCAAAGTACAACGTCATCTGCTTTCTCAAAATGTCGGGTAGATAAAGAAGCGGATTAATCAATAATTAGCGAGGAAGGGCAGCATCTGGAAGAACTCCAGAGATATTCACCAACTGACAAGGTAAATTCCTTTCCGGCCCGGTTTGTTGGACTCTGTCAGTAAAATGGTCTTCATTCACGAAAGGGTCGGCTAATTTGAGCATAATGGTGTATCAAAGGACCGAGTCGAAAGCAAAAGAATAGTCAAAACATTTACAGTGAATCGATTTCATTGAGTGGTCTAGATACTCTCGATGAAATGAACGACGGACGATGCTTCGTCTGATGATAGAGAAGTCTGTTTTACAAGAAAATTGTTAACGGTCCTGGATTACAGTTGAATTATAGCGAAGACAGATGTGAATAACGGAAGAAGTGATTGTGAAGGGAAGAAAATGTAGAAGTGGACTTTGTAGGGATAGTCGCTGTTTGTTCGACTGCACTTCTAATCACTTTGTCTCATGGTGAATACCAATAAGAAAAGAACTGTTAAGGCATGACAGTTAAACCCAAGCAGCTTGGTTGAAAGATCCTCGACTCATTAAAATTAGTTTATGTCGAATTACTCGCAAATACATGATGTTTAGCGCACAGGAACATAAAGAAATGCGGTTGATTTCATTGAAATTTATTGATTCGTTAGATGGCGCAGCAAGCACGGTTCCTCGGTTCTCTTCGACTCCGGCTCGTTGAATTCTAAATAAGACTTGGATTACTGGTGTAAAGTTCGTTCGAGGAACATTTTTCGCTTCTAGAGCGATTCTGATTAACGCAGTTGGTTTTTGACCGAAAAGGTACTCTGCGTTAAAGCAGTGGCAAAAATGTGCTGCTCCTGTCAGACTGTGAATGGCATCATGTGAGGACCTAATGTACGTTAGGCGTTTGAGAAGATGCCCGAGCACCACTTTACGACACAACAGTATTAGTTGTCTCTACCCGTCGGTTGCTCTGACCTTGAGGTACCTGTGCAAGAAGACTAACGCGGTCTGTATTAACAAATCGAGTTAGGTTTGTTATATCATGCTGTGATCACGTCTACCTTTTCCTATTCATTTGCTACANTACATCGATACAGAATGCATGCCATAGCTATCAATTTGGTGACATCCGCAATGCATGCTGTATCCAAAGCACTCTATGAAGATCCACCGCTTGGGACAACCCGGTTCTGATGTATCATTTGACATTCTAATGTTGGAAAGCGCATACCGGAGGTAACTGTTCCGTCGCACAGATCATCCCGAAAAGCTTGCAACTTACCTGGATTTTCATTTAGTGGTGGAACATCGTCTACGTACTCATGAGCTACAACTCGGGAGCAAATCGATTCCACTATCCTCACTGCGCCGTTGCAATAATCAAATCCAACACTAAGAGTAGAGAGGACAGCTCTGACGAAAACCAATTTCTGTGGTCAACTCGGACGGGAGAGAGACGTTCGATCAAACGGGCTTCATAGATTCGTTCAAATAGGTCGTATTATTGAAATAAGCGTTTCTGACACTCCTCAGGGAGAGGTAGTCCTAAGGTATAGAGCGGTCGACTAACCCTAATGCTGCTTCTCGATAGAGGAAGGTATAAATGGGGGGTTTAAGAAGAGTTTCTACGATCTATAATTTGACAAAGATTCGATAAAGCCCCGACCGATTTCAAAACTAGACTGGATTTCACGTATCCAATATTCCCGTGCGGCAGACCATCGACAGAGCATAATTTCAAAGAGAGATTTAGAAACTGTTGATCAAACTAATTACTGTGTGTTTCACGAGAGGGTCTGTCGTCCCTCTTGTTAATCAGTATGATGACCGATTCACACCATTCAGTTGGAACCTGTTGGCTCTCTCACACCGAAGCCAGGAGTTTCGTCAACTCCAAAACCAATGCTGACTCTCCATCCTCAAGGGACGATGGAGACAACCCATCCGGCCCGGAGCTGTCATGCTCTTTCGGGAGAACTTACTTCCCGGCTAGTCTCCGTTTCACTCGGAGGGTTGGCATCAACTGGCCCTATTTACCCAGTTGAGGTAGGTCTTAACAGGTCTAATGTCAATGTGGCCAGCTGAACTGTGGCTTTGCATGTTCTACTCGAAGCTCAGGGCTGCGCTGCTCAATACGAACTAGTGTACCAATCTTCTTTGGACCCATAATTTCTAATTAGTCGGAAAAGATTGCGGCCGTAAACAGCAATAACAGCCTTATCACCCCTCTCTCTCTGCATTTCTCTGTGATTGCGATAAGTATATCGCAATCATTTCTCAGGCTCCTGATGACTTGGCGTTTCAGAGATGTTGGCAAATCTTTAGCCTCTGGAGGTCTGAGTTTATCTGCACACCCCGCAGTCTACAATTGGCTGCGCAAATACAAACGGTGCCATCGAATGAAAGGTGGAGTGATACTACAAGTGCCACTTTTGTATCGCTTCCCCGTGTTCCCTTCATAAATGTTCGGAGACTGCCTAAGCATAGGCCAGTTGGAATTGGAACACCCAGGTTCACATTAGATGAATGATAATCTGGCCGTGGAACTGAGTTCGGATCAACAATCGCACCTACATCCTTGACGAATGCGAAGCTACCATCCTATCAGGAGAAAATCGTGAATAATTACAAGTTATCCGACCATGTTTCTTTGTCGGTTAGCAGGGCTTTTACACCTTGAATAATATTCAACCCGGTTTCAAAGATATTTCATCTTTCACATTATCTTTTAGGTGTTTTGTATTGATCCGAACTTGATGAACCAAGCAGCCCGATACCCGACAAAGCCGGGTCGGGGTTTGATTGTGAATACGTTAGCTAATACAATCTGAACNGAAATATAAATTGTAGCCAAGTTTCGGTTCTGGAACGGGCATAGTCGGACGAATATTCCCGCTGATGAAGATTGTAACTCGTCATTTTCAACTGTAGCTCATGCTACCTATTCTATTAGAGTCGTCCATATTTGTGACTCAGTTAGTTATTGTTGGAGACGTATGCCCGGAAAATACGTTTTACACAATTGAATATCCTGTTTTCAATCAAATATCGCTACATAGGTAAACATTTCTAAGTTTTTCATTCTCCTGACTGGTACCCTATCAAAATTGCTTGTTATCTAATCACATTGATAGTTATATTTTCATCGAGTTGCGAATCTACACGACTGTTTTACAACCAACCAAGGAACAAGCTTCAGTTGAGAAAGTCACTTCAACTGCAATGTGACCAATAATGACAATTCGTACGGCGGTTTTTGTTATTGTCTTTTAGCTACTCATTCAAATGTGGGGTTTAAAAGAAGAATAGAATGCCGGAGTTAGTTCGCCAGTGTCGAGCGAATCACACCCGCACACTTTACAGATATAATGATAAACTGTGCGTTGATACACTGTGCCATGTGAACCGCTTTTTTGACATCCAGTGCGCGTGGGCTTCCCGGAATGTCGGTGAATCATCTGATGCTACTTTAATCAGGTGAATATCGGACTTGTATTGATCGGATATGCGCGTTCACCTCACCGTGTGTTTGTGTTTGACTATCGTTTGATCGCATTGGATTCAATTCACGAATTTACCAAATGGAAGTTGTTGTCTGATTCAGCTAAAGTTCTTTGAACTAAACTCGTCGTGGTTACGGTTTCGCCCGTGAACTCACCTCGCAGTTCCTCATGTTGGAGTATCTGTGCGCATTATTTCCGAGCAGTCCTGTAATGCAAATGTGCACTTACAGTGCACTTTGTGTATTTTTTAAGTAAACTGACTGTATGCCCTGAATAGCTTGAAAACAACAGTTTTACAGTATCACATTGTCTCCAGTGTCTTTGTGTGGACTGAGATAAGACAATCATCTTTTTCATGGTCTGCAATTGAGAAGTAACGGTATTGTTCATCATCCTCTTTCAAGGTTTGTGGCTTAGCCGATTGGGTCGATAAGTGAATGTGCTGGGTACTGCTTTCGCCTAGGATATGAGTGATTTCGTGGGGCGTATGCTGACTGGAATTTTACAGTGACATAAAAGGGAATGCACTCGTGCGCGCTGCTGTGATTATCACTGTAACTAAGCTGGGAGACAGATGGGATATAGTATATCACAAAGTCGAAGTAGTGAGCAGTTGCTCGTAATGAATCACAATTGAAACACTTTTTTTTACGCTCACCTAGCGAAGCATTCTCTAATAGTAACTTCCGACTCCATAGTTCCCGAATAATTTCCGCGTCAGTATCATGAGATCCCGTGAGTCGCGACAGGTGCTGACTGTGTTTACCACCATTCATGCGATAACGCTGTCCTTGGTTGACTGGAACCCATCCAACATTTTGCACTTCCCTCGATCCAAAGATGCCTATGAAAGATTTAGTATCTAATGGCTCACTGATCCATTGGAACAGGATCAGTCATGAACAAAATTGAACAACCGAACCGATCCTGAGGGCTTGTGGTTGCGTCAAATGTTCAGTACCTTATGGTGATACATTTAAAGACCAGTTGAGAACATTCAAACGTACGCTGTTCAAATTAGTAGTTTAAATAGGGAGACTGCTCATTTTATCATCTAAACTGGGAAGCGTATTACAACAGGAAGTCGAACGAGCAGAAGGATACACATATCCCTGATTGGATGTAGATGTTTGAAGTTTAAAAAAAACAATAAAGGAAAAGCAGTATAATAAAAAGTTATTTTTGTGAGCCAACAAGGAATTTAAATAAGGAAGTTACCTTGTTAAATGCAGAAAACAAAATATGCCGTCTTTGGGGACGAATCAGCGATCAAAACTGTGCCCCAATGCGAACAAATCGTTTCTCTGATAAAACCGACAGAATACTGCTGTGTACAGAAAATAAATAAGCCTCAATCATAATTCATAGATTTGCACTAATCAAATGTTTACTTCACACTGTACACTTTGGCTGGAAGAAAAATCGACTGAATGCTCACGTGAACATTTTTAAAAATTTCTGCCTCTTGTTGTTGTAGCTGGATTTGATGTCAATGAAATCATTCAAAGATAAAAAACAAAAGAATGATGCGTGATTCCTATATTCGATTGAATAACAACTGCGTGGTCTACTGTAAATTTGTTACAGCTTCAAGACCGTGACGTGTCAGATCCGATTGTTTATCTTAAGACATGATGCTTCATCGCTTGTCACAACTGGTGTTTGCATTAGTCTACCAAATGAATTAGATATGTTTGCAATTTGTCGGAAGAATATATGAAAAATGGACTGTGCACTATCGTGATTAATTAAATCTTTCGATAGCGATTGACTTGTCGGCACCTTGAAATCACTTTTCAAAAGGTTCAGTTGATAGGCGGTTTTCATTTTGACCGAAATCGATTGCATTTCCCTCATATTGTTTACGTCATCCATTTTCCCTGAAGTCAATGAAGCGTTGGATGCGGTTAGATATTGCGTGAGACAACATGAATGAGGCTAGGCCTATCCTAATTGGATTTCACAAAACGCCCTATAAGCCCAGCACTCCAACCACACCACTCTATTAAATGTGTGAGTTAATTTTTTTTAAACGCCACTCAATGATAAGCGTTTACACTCTTCGATTTACCTTCCTCTTGGTACGAGTTTTCCATTCAGTCATGATAGTGAGAATTAAAGAGTACAATCATTTTGACGATCCAGCTGACGTTCGACTTCGGCGCACAACGACAGACAGGAGGAGTATCCCGCAACACTGAACAAGCCTAGAAGCGAACAGTTTCAAATACTTCTTTTCAGTGTTTGTAATTGACCTATTTTTGGGATAGTGGTTATTGTACTATGAATGCAATTTATATTCGGCTCCCCGTTCTCAGACAGCCCACCAAGAAAAACTATGATCCCGTTTACCCCTTCGTCTCGGCGCGAATTTTGAATCACTGACTCAAACAAGGCGTTACCTGATAATTGATGATTTCTGATCTTAGAACAAACATATATTGATCGAAGATACTGATAAAAATTTGAGCACGTGATTGGGGTCTAAAATTACTTCAGAGCAGTTTCAACATGCATTCTTGTATTTAATGGCTTTTCAAAGCGTTATCTGCAACCATTCTGAGGCTCTTGATTGAAATCGTTTTAGTTAATATTATTCTCTATAATGCATTCATGTTTTATTCTGGCGTACCGAGCCCCTTAATCTGTGTACACTCCTCATCCTATACGTCCTCATCAAACACCAGAAAGAATGCAATTTAGTTCTCGTTAGTTGAACATCCCGAATCGGTAAGAATAATTTTGCGTTAAATGGAGTTGAATATAGCAAAATAAGTCACATATGGAACAACATCATTCATGTCACAAATATCTGAATGAGCGATCATATTTTGACGTGCAAGTTTCGATCACCTTGGAACGCATTTTCATCGTAAAGCAGTGGTTCTTGTTTCCTATCCAGTAACCATGAGCAAATTTGTGATTTGAGAAGGAGGTTATAAGGAACTAGGATGTGAAGTCTAAACCTTACGAACTACCAAACGGGGACTGTTGATTTTTTCGAGTGTAGCTTTTCCACTCCCAGCCCATAAACGCGCTACCTTGATCTGGTTATTTGTATCCAGCTCGTAACTAAGGACCTACGTGTGTCGTATGTGGTTAATGTGAAGTATACAACATTTCATCGTACCATTGAAAATGGGTTTCAAATATGGAGACGGTACTTGTGAAAATTAATCAACTTGTAAATGACATGATGACGGCCATTCAGTGCTCCAGTGTGACTGGCAAATTTGCAACGCTAAAAGTAATAGTTCTCATTTTCAACGAGATTCTGGAGATAGGAGAAATAATGTTTGAAGTTCCGACCCGAATGTTCGCGGTTCGAGTCCTGACAGAGAAGGAAAAAGTACGCACTGCTGACGAGTCCCAAGAACAAGACGAAACAGCCTTCCAGTGCTCTTTATCAGTTATCACAAACATTTCCATCACATTTGAAATGATGTTCCTGTTCAGACAACAAATCCATTTATCTTAGAAGCCATGAAGCCGGGAACTTTGACCGCGTTGACGAGTCCCAGTTAGGAATAGCCTCACTTATGCGTTACATCGTCAAGCTCTCCATCCCACATACCCCACATTGGTTTGGGCATAGCAGAGTTAGACAGACTGATTGAGGCAGAACCATGTCCGTATTGGGATTTGATGAAAGTGAGCAGCATGGTATACTTTGTTTCACCACACAGTTCAACACGCAATTACGTCAATGTTGCGGTTTATGGGAAGGTAGCGAATTCATGCAATAGTTTTTTGGCACAGGGATGTAAATGAAAACCTGTTTTATTTGGCGAGACCAGACAAGATAGTTCCTCTTATATGGGAGGTGCACCAAAGCAGATGTGATGATGAGTGAAATACCCATTGTCAACGGACCTGCTATCAAGCTGAAACAGAAAGATTGACGGATAAATGAAACAGGCTGGTGATAAAGAGGTTGAAATGCTAGTCAAATTCAACACTATCCTGCTGAAGGACAATCCTATGTATTTAGGAGGAAGATTCTACGTATGCGAGAGGAGAAAATGTCACAGGTAAGATCACTAAAACGCAACAAAAGTGAACCGGAGGCAGTTTTATCACAGGAAAAATCATTCTTGTACTTTTCCGGACACAACCTATTTTCGCTTTTTATGAAACCCTTGCTATTCTGACCGTCTTTTTGCAACAGTAGCTTAAGAGCTCTGATCTCACAGTTCACCCGATGCTTGAAGATCAAGGAAGATCGATGACCTTGAAATGTAAACTCACGAAAATCGTACCAATTTGTGCAGATGTCAAAGTAAAATATTGTCCAAATTTCGCTGTTTTAGATGAGAGAAACCAAGTTC